TTTCTGCATTCTTCGAAGGAGGAGCACTTCCCGCAAAAGCCGCGTGAGCATTTAAATTACTCCGTTCGTACCCGGTTGTCTCCCGCTATCTTCTCCGTGAGCAACACTTGGCTTAACCAATGGGATGAGGCTATTCTGGATCGTCACGTGTACGTTGTCAGCTCATTGGTCACAAAGCAGGACAGGGATCGGGAACAAGTTTACCGTAAGTTTTGTATCTAACGTGCCCTTGTTCTTCATTTTCCATGAGCTTTTTACTCTCATAGCAATACGGGACAAAGTGCGTATCCTTTCCACTAAATACGGGACTAGATACAATTCCGTTTTTAAAGGGAAGGTTGGGAACCCTAAATATGGACCATAAACTTTGATATCAGACAGTGATGTTTTTGTCGTGTAAAGCAATAGATATCCTATAGGAAGGCCTTATTGTGAAGTTTTCTAAGACGAAATAAGAAGGAAAAGCGTATAGAGCCATAAAACTTGGGACTGTTTGCGAAACCTATTCTAAGCCAGCAGGTGGCAGGCGTGTACTTCACACGATGAAAGCAGAGTCAAATAAAATAAAGAAGAACAAAACTGTTTTTAAACGTTTTATTTAATGTTTACAGAAGGGAATTTATGGTTGTAGATTATTTGGTTAGGTGCATCTTTTTTTTGTGGCCTAAATGAATAGTTGCTACCTCGTTGTTAACTCGCCCTAACTATCGCTGTTTATGGCGTTTAGCTGATGCTAGCTGACTTTAGCTATAGCATCATGTCACAGCAGGAGCTGTTCCCAGACTCTGCTCAGCAGGGACCTGCTAGTGATGAAAGGCGCAGTAGAAGTCGTTTGGGACTGGTCATCACAGGGGTTGTTGGAGGCTCCCTGGTCGCTCTCTATGCGGTGGCTGCCCCGTTTGTCGCTCCTGCCCTCAGAAAAGTCTGCCTCCCGTTTGTCCCTGCCACCACGGCTCAGGTGCAGAACGTCCTGAAGGTCCTGCAGTCCAGGTCAGGGACTCTGGTGGACATCGGAAGCGGCGATGGAAGGATAGTAAGTGATCAGTCCCGACACCCTGATAGTGTCGCAGGCTTTTTCCCTCATAAATCCCAATTTTCAGTTTCATTGAAATCTATCAGCAGCAGATTTGTTTCTCATAATTAAAGAGATGTGATTTCAACCGGAAGTTCATCATATATTTTTTCTTTAATTATATGTACAAATGTACTGGTAGCAGTTGAAGACATCCCTTACATTTCTAAATGTTTTGATTCTGGGCCCTTTTTTATTGCTATAAAAAATATTACTTTTTTTAATTTAAAACTGTGACGTGGAATATAATACTTTACAATGAAAAAATAAGTTCTTTGTTTTATTCATTTATTCATTTTCAATTCTTGATATAAAGCCATAAAGTATTTCTACTTGCGCCAGTGTTTTGGCTTATTAAGCAAATGCTGATATAGTAAAAAATATATATATATATGTATATATATATTTTTTTTTCTTTTCTTTTTTTTCTTTTTCTTTTTGAGACAATAGTAAGGAACCCAACAACATAAAGAATGAAGAAGTTAAATCTTATCTTTGTTTAAGCATGCATACAAGTTGTTTATTTATCAAAACTTATGGGGTTTATCTTTTTGGAGGCTGATAATGATAATTGATGATTTAGCAGCCCTCATTAGACTATGGGGTTAGTTTCAAATCAGGAAAGACCATTAAGAAACTCTGATTTATAGGTCATTCTAAAACTTTTATTCCATAGATACAAACTGGTTAATAGTGCTAACTTTGAGCACAGCCTATAGAACACATAGAAAGCTTAAATGAGCTAAGAAACTGACATAAACAAATAGCAGAGTAGTAAAAAAAAAACCCGATGGGTGTTTAAACCTTGTCCCAAATTTAAGGCCTGATCACCAAGTAATTGCATTTATAAATAAAGTAAATTGAGCTATAGAATATTATTATTTAAATAATAGATTCCTCAAATCCTGTTTTGCCAGCAAATGGATTTACTTCCTATTAGGGAAAAAAACTGTAACTTTTTACCTTTGCTGATGCACATCAATGCTCTGATTCATTTTTTTTTAATCTTGCAGGTGATAGCAGCAGCAAAGTGTGGATTTCAGGCATCTGGTTTGGAGTTAAACCCTTGGTTGGTTTGGTATTCTCGCTACAAGGCCTGGAGAGAAGGAGTTCACCGCTCTACTTCCTTTTATATTTCCGATTTGTGGAAGGTACGTGTATCCTGATTAGAGAATCGCATATGAATAGCCATCTAGTGTAACAAAAATATAAACAAATTCTGTTCTTTCGACAGGCTAGTTTTGCTCAATATTCCAATGTTGTTATTTTTGGAGTTCCTCAAATGGTGAGTTCAGCTGTATAACACACAATAAACACACTGGCTAACAGGTAACATTGCCAAAGTGATAATTATTGCTTATGCTAGTCTCAAAAACCCTAATTATATTTGTGTTTTGTTTGTTTTTTTCTGTCTGCAGATGGATCAGCTGGAGCTTAAGTTGGCAAATGAGCTGCCCAGTTCAGCCAAAGTGGTTGCCTGCCGTTTTCCCTTTCCAACATGGGTTCCTGAAAGCACCGAAGGGGAAGGCATAGACACTGTGTGGGTGTATGATGCCAAAACATTTCAATCAGCTCTGAACAGTGGGAAGACAAGAAACACATCATTAGAGAATAAACCAAATCCTCATAAATGAGATAGTGGGTTGCTGCATGGACAACAGATTTTCAAGATATGTTTTAATAGAAATAAGGCTACATCAAAGCTGTACCTGTCACGATCACAGTACTACTGTCCATCAATTGTTTTATGGTTTGTTGGTTTTGTTATAAATAAAGAAAATCTGTCATGAAAGGAGTTTTGTAGCTGCTATTTGCTGCCATCTAGTGGCAAATATACTGTACTGTCACGTGTCGTTCCGTTGAGTATGCATGACCGCTAGCCGATTATGTATCAAGAAAAGCTGTAGAGAAAATGTTAAATGCACGGTAACATGTCCGGTTTAACGTAACATTGTACTGAAATGTTTACTCGGAGTTAGTTAACGGCTTACGCTTTTATCCCCACTGTCGGGCTGTTGGAGTGGAGCAAGGCTGCTTAGCAGCCAGCCAAGATGGATACCGCAGAGGAAGGTAGCTAACGTTCAACTTAAAATATCTATTTTTATACTGTAAAGTATTACGGTGTTATGATTAAAACACAGCGTAATATATTCTGAGAAGGTCTCAACCAACGACCATGGCATACTATGTTTTTATGCCCTATGAAATTATGACAAACGACTGATACTTAGGAGACCGTTAGCCAATTATTGTTAGCAGCTAACGGGTATTAGCATTCTGTTAGCTCTAACTGTAAACAGGTTGTTGCCGTTGGGCATTTTGTAACGTGATATAAAATTCCCAAATGTCAATTTGTGACAGCATACTGTTCAGAAAACACATTTTAAATGTTCTATGTGGCAATTTAAATAATTTATATTTATTTTTTAAGATAACGTTAGTTAAATTGCACCGTTATTAGCAGTTATTCGATTGTGGGGAGCAAGCTAGCCTTACATTAGGGTAATGATTAGCTAATGCTGTTTATACTTTCCGAACCTAGGATAGTTTAGATTTATGGTAACCATACACTGCCTTTTTCTCACAAATTCCGATTTCCAAACTATATTTTGTTTTACAGCCGTTTGTAATTATGTAAGCGCTCTAAACGTTAGTAAATGGTAATAAATACACTGTCAAGTTAATGGTTTTATTTAGCACAGGGAGACACTTTAAATGTTAACACGCAGCCGCTTCATCGGCTAATTATAGTTATTTTATTCTGGTCACTGGAATACATATATAATCCAAGGATTACAGTTGGCGCTGTTGGACTGGCCTCTACTGTCAGTCTTACCTTTTTAAAATGTAAAAAAGCTTCTCCACATCAGGTCTTCCAGTTCTTAAATGTTAACTTTTCAGGTCTGGAATAAGGTTTGATTTACCATAATTTATTTCTCTCTCATGTATATAATAAGACATGAAAAAAATGTTTTTTGTCTTTGATTCGCCAGTCACACCTGAATTTTAAAGCAATATTAAAATAGGCGTAGCCAGAAAAGTTTTCTAAGGGTGGCCAGGCAATAACCAATGTACACTAAGGGGTGGCAGAAAGGGGATCGGCGCCAGAACCTCAGGGTCAATCTACATTGTTCCAACAGGAAAATTAATGACTAAAACATCCATATTTTCTAAATAAAAACAAACTATCCTCTCCCACAGCCTTTGCTAACAACGAGTATATTTAAACATCCGTGCTTCCTTGATAAAAGGTATAGTGGATACAATTCTTTCAGGTTTGAGTTCTGGGAGTGAACATCTTTTCTATTTTCATTACTTACCTACTTTAATCAATAATCATTTTGCCAAAAATGTATATTTACAAGTACTAATATCTACATAAATTGATTATTTAATACGCTTTTATTAAAATAGTTATCTATGATTTCACTGAATACTCCTATATGAATTGCAGAGAACATCATTTTCTCTTTACCCCATGTAACTCAAAATGTAGTTCAGACTGTTGCCACAGTTTGTATTAGAGAGAAAAAAGTAGGGTCGGCCACAGGGGTAGCCAATCATTGGCTGATGCAACGTTCATACCAAGAGTAGCAAGAGCTGCAAAAACGCATGTGCTGCTTCATTTTTGATGCTTGTACAAGTTTAGTTTAGGTTTGCTGCTCCAGCTGCGTGATGGAAAAAGTAGGTCTGATGCGGAGCTATCCTATCCTTTCTTTGCCTGGCAGCTATATATGCTGTGATCAGTGGGAATAAAGTAGTAATAAAGCAAGAAAGACCACCTGAAAACTTTATCTGTGCAGTCAGTTCATCCAGATTACCATCCTGCCTTCAAATATTTCTCTGTCGGAGCCGCTCAGACCCCCACATACCGGCAGTGCTCTGTCAGTAGGAATTCCATTCAACAGCAGCCTCTGGCGTGGTTGCATCCTGGCGGTTTGCCACGGCGGCTGGAAAGCATTTTTCATGTACGAAATCCAAACTGCAGGCATCAGGATAGTAAAAGTGAACATGTTTTGCTGGCAGATTTCGGCATTTTAAGTTAATTTAGGCGTTAATTAACTGTTTCAGAGGAGTGATCATAGTGATCTGTATCATTAGCGACGTGTCTCTCTCCTTGCCAGCTCCCAGATCAGCTTTTCTGACTGGTTGATATGGCATGTCGAGTATGCGCGTCAGATACTCAAACGCTCACAACGCGCTGCTTCAGCTGCTCAAAACGCTCTGCGGAACGTTTTGCTGCGCCTTGACGCGTGTCAGCCATTGTCTTTGCATGTAAACTAGCTGCTCCTGCTGCCTTTCCTGCTTTTGGTGTGAACGTAGCGTAAGGGTGGCCAAGGCCGCCCCTGGCCCCCCATCAAGCTCCGCCCCTGGGTATTAATAAGATGTTTTGTGTTTTTGAATTATTAATTAAATACACATAAAAACAATAACAAATCACTAAAATTTATATAATATTGAAACAATAGAAATATTTATACCTTAGATGTTATAAGCAAATTAAAGAAAACACATTGAATTTGGGGTTAAACGATCTCTGATCTATAGAGGAAACCTACAGTTAAGTCTTTTTAGTCATGCATTTAGTAGGCCTTTGCTGGTTGTGTTTAGTAAATCTGAAAGAACTGATAAGAGAACAGTGCAGCCCTAGAGTGATCCTGATTAGATATCTAAAACGTTACTAATTAGTGTTTTATTTATCCATTTTACAGCGGATATATGTCGAGTATGTCGCTCAGAGGGCACCCAGGAAAAGCCGCTCTACCATCCCTGCGTTTGCACTGGCAGCATCAAGTTTATCCATCAGGAATGGTATGACAGTGAACCTTTATATACTGTAATAATTATCTATTAAGATCAGCCAATTTCTGTTGATCCTAATGTCAAACTGTTACTTAAAAAAGCATGAATCATTTTGAAAGTCAAACCCAAAATGTAAAAACAAGAATTCTCTGTTGAATAGAGTAAATTGTCTTTGCACACTAACCTGTATAATGAGAGTAATCTCATCATCTTGTCTTTTGTCTTCACAGCTTACTGCAGTGGCTAAAACACAGTAGGAAAGAATACTGTGAATTATGCAAACACAGGTTTGCTTTTACACCAAGTGAGTTCTGCAACAGTTTTGCAAAGATGAACAGCGTTTGCAACTCATTAACTTTTTTCAGATTTGAACACATAATCACAAATTGAGTGGATAGAGAGCAGCTGTAAACAGTCTGTAACAACAACAACAAGCAGAGACATTGCTGTCTGCCTAAACTGAACAGTCAAAAAAGCTAAGCTTTAATCAAGTAACATTAGTGAACACAGTGTTATGGAGACAAAGGAACATACCTGACAGTGTAGTGATAAATCCTGCTTAAAGCTTGCCTCAAGTGATGTGGAGGACCGAAACATAGAGAAAAAGAAAGGTTTCTCACTAGAAGATACCAAAGTTGAACATAATGGGATACATGTGAGACACAATTAGCCTGATCACACTTTTTCCATCATACTAAGATGCTTTTTTTATAGTAGGAACAGGAAAGGTGTCGAGAGTCTATGGGAAGACTGAGCTAAAAACTGGAAAATATTGAATAAAACCATTTTTAGAGGCTACAAAACACTTAAGATTGGAGTGAAAGTCCACCTTTCCACAGGACAACGCCCTCAAACCTACACCCTTAGCTCCAATTTTGTTAGATCAGGGCAGGATTCATGTGTTAGAGTGGTCCAGTCAATTTAGGACCAAAGGCCAACTGCAGCTACTTACAGATGCTCTCCCTCTTACCCTGATACATTTACTAAAAGACATGTAGCCATATTTGGAACACATTTTTATTTGTAAACTAAAAAAAGGGAAAGTCGTTGATTCTTTCCAGTTTCAGATTTATGTGCCAGTTTCTATTGTTCAATCACAAAAAATCTGTTAAAGTTTGTATCATGCTTAGGGCTGCAACAACGAATCGATAAAAATCGACTTTTAAAAGCGTTGGCAACGAATTTCATCATCGATTAGTTGTGTCGCGCGATTAATGCGTCATCCGCCGCCGCCGTCATCACATCCACTTGACTGAAGCGGGGGAAGAAGAAAAAATACGGCAGAGCGAGCCAGCGCCGCAGGTGCAGTGTTGCCAACTCAGTGACTTTTCAGACCCCTCCAACGACTATATTTCAAAAAAGCGACTAGCGACAAATCTGGCGACTTTTTTACGGTGTCACTGGCGGCTTTTGGAGACTCTTACGTGAAGGCATGTATCGT